CGAATCTCTTATACCACTGTCTTGGTGACTGCTTCAAACCATAAAGAGACTTCTTCAGCTTACAAACCAAATCTTCCTTTCTTACAGCTTTGAAACCCTGGGGTTGTGTCATGTAGATCTCCTCATCTAAATCACCGTGTAGAAAGGCTGTCTTCACATCCATCTGGACCAAATCCAAATCCAACTGTGCCACCAACGCCAATAAAATCCGTATAGACGAATGCTTCACAACGGGTGAAAATACCTCGTTGTAATCAATGCCCTCAAGCTGTGCATATCCCTTGGCAACCAATCTGGCTTTGAACCTTATGTCCCCAATAGAAGATCTCTCCTTCTTCGCATATACCCACTTGCAACCAATAGCCTTCTTACCCTTAGGTAGATGTGCAAGTGTCCAAGTATCATTTTTCTGAAGAGACCGCATCTCCTCCTCCATAGCTTCCCTCCACCTGATCGAATCGGGGCTAGACTCTGCCTCCTTGAATGTGGCTGGAACCATATCATCAACGACCTCCACTGATAATACATATGCGACCATGATATCATTATACCTAGCTGGCCGACGAATCTCTCTCCTCGGTCTATCTGCTACAATGGACCCCTGAACATGACCCTGTTCATGAGTCCCATAATCCACTGTATCCTCTATCTGCCCGGCTGTCATTTCATCTCCTCCCAGTGTCACCTCTGTAGGAGCCTTAATGGATACAATGCTCTTTGGAGTGAGTGGAGTCACATCATCCTCTACCTGCTGTGATATTTCTCCTGTCTGGTCTCCCTCTACCTGCTGAGGGGCTCGAGGCCTCATCATGTACGCCTCGTCAAATGTGACATCTCTGCTAATAACTATCTTCTTGTCCTGTGGATCCTAATACTTGAAGTCTTTGACTCCATCTCTAAATCCCACAAAGACTGCTTTCCTCGCTCTCGGATTTAATTTACCGTCACTGACATGATAATAAGCTGGACACCCGAATATCCGAAGCGACTCATAGTCACTAGCCACCGAACCAAACCAACGCTCCAAAGGAGTCTCCCCGTCTATCGCAGTGCACGACAACCTGTTCACGAGATGGCTCGCATAAACTAACGCCTCGGCCCAAAAAGATCTAGGCAATCCACTCTGCGTCATCATACACCGCACCTTCTTCAGTAAGGTACGGTTCAATCTCTCAGCCACCCCGTTCTGTTGCGGTGTCTCTCGAACTGTGAAGTGTCTTCTAATGCCGTGATCCCGACAAAACTACAGAAACGGATCACTCTTGTACTCTCCACCATTATCTGAACGTAGAGTCTTCACATTTCTACCTGTCTGCAGCTCCACTTTCTTCTTCCACTTCACAAAAATATCCAGGACCTGATGTTTATGCTTCATAGGGTATACCCAATTCCTCCTGGAATAGTCATCAATGAAAGTGACAAAATAGTTGGCCCCACCAAGAGATGTGTTCTTGGAAGGACCCCAAACATCTATGTGAATGTAATCCAATGTACCTCGGGTGTTATGAACAGCGGTGCCAAACTTCACTCTAGTCTTCTTCCCAAGTACACAGTGCTCACACAGCTCTATCTTGTAGGTCTTAGCACCTTTCAATAGCCCATGTTTTACTAATGACTGTAGGGACTTATCACCTGTGTGTCCAAGTCTCATGTGTCATAAGGTGGTTGTGTCCTCCTCTGTAGTGATAGAAGCTGTTAGACCCCCTATAACTGTCCTGCCCTTCAAGTAGTATAGGTTGTTTTCCCTGACACCTCCCATCACCACCATAGAACCCTTCGTGACCTTTACTATAGCATCCTCTAAGATCACTCGATATCCAGCTGCCTCCAAAGTCCCAAGAAAAATGATGTTCTTCGTCAACTGCGGTATGAACCTCACTTCCTTCAACTCCCTCTCACTACACCATCATGCATCCTAATCCGGACTGAACCAATGCCACCAATAGGACATACGTGGTCATTACCCATAAGCACTATATCCCATCTTTTCAGCTCCTCAAAACTAGAAAACCACTCCCTCTTAGGGCAGATGTGATATGTAGCTCCCGAATCTATCATCCACTCCGTGGAATCCGCATAGCAAACCGACGGTAATGCATGGCATGAATAGCCTGAAGAATCTGAATCTGAATGCTCACCAATAGCTTTTGTAACATTCACTTCTGAAGCTTGTGCAGCTTTCCCCTTATTCTTCCTGGCTTTTTCTTTCCACTTTGGACGGTCAATCTTTCAATGTCCTTCTTCTTTACAATACCGACATTGATTTCTATCAACACTCTTATAGGCACTCCTATTCTTTGACTTTGAACGGTTGAACTGACGACGGTTTGGATCTCGGCCTCGAACTGCTAATGCATCTCCCGATGCCTTCTTGGAGGGTTCACCATCACTCTTCCTCAACTCATAGTTCACCAAAGCTGAGGTCACCTCCTTGTAGCTAACTGTAGTTCTTCCATTGATCATAGTGAGAACGAACGTACCATAATCATCTTCGGGCAACGAACACAGAAGTAGCATCGCCTTGTCTTCATCCTCAACTATAATATCCACGTTGGCCATATCTGAAAGTAGCTTAGTGAAGTTGTTGACATGCTCCCTGATGAAAACTCCCCTCTTCATCTTGAACTGGTAAAATCACTTCTTCAAGTGAAGCCGATTCTCAATGCTCTTCGTAAGATATTTCTCATTGAGTGTTTCCCACATCTTCTTCGCCGACGTCTCGTTCATAACATCGTAAATAAGATCCGGCGTCAAGCATGACCTAATAACACCACAAGCTCTACTATTCATCTTCCTCCAAACCTTATTCTCCATATCTGCGGGTTTCTCTTTTAACTCAAGAGTCTCCTCCAAATTCTGTGCATCCAAGGCATCCATCACCCGACACCTCCACAATCCAAAATTGATCTTACCGTCGAACTTCGGAACATCAATCTTTGTGTTATTGATGCTCAGACTCTGTATCGCCTTTGTAAGAGACGAACCTGACATGCTTGTATCTCCCATGTTGTCGATACAGCTCTGATACCAATTGTTGTGCGTGACGGAAGCTTTTCTTATGCAACATGAACAATAACTCGAACTAAACCACAACTAATATGCAAACACAACCACATCAAGAACAAACAATTTACGTGGTTCGGCAAGTTGCCTATGTCCACGGGGCAAGGGGGAGGGAGTTCTTACTATTAGAAATCAGAGAATACAAGTAGAGTTACAAATCTCACCGATCAAACCCTAAAACAAAGCTCTTGATCTCTCACAACTCTCCCACAATTGGATGCAACAATCCTCTCTCAAAGACTGCTCAAATTCGTCCTTGCTTAACCCTAACAAATCAGGTTTAGGGAATCACAAACCCGAGAGCTAAATCCTTTACAGTCATTCGCGGTCGACCGCGGCGGTCGACCTCCATCAACTCCGAATTCCAGTCATTCGCGGTCGACCGCGGCGGTCGACCGCCAGTCTGTCTGGCTTCCGTCTAGCTGATTCTCTGCTTTTTTCTGTAATTCTTCATTCCAAACCTTAAATTCAAAGTCTAATTCAATATAACATAAAAGTAATCTTGTGACTATAGGCAAATATGGTAAAACTGATCTTTAAGCGAGGACCTCGTTGAACGGTTAAAGTCAAGATAGAGGATGAGAGAGAGTTGGTCGGAGCAGTCGGTAGTCGAGGAAGAGCTTGGAGTGTTTGAGCTCGTTGGCCAAAGAGTGGAGGGAAAGCTGGTGGACTTGATGTCACATGCAAGCTTCAAGGTGAAGTCTTTTTGTGGAGGAAGTGGAGGAGTGGTAGGAGAAAGAACATAAAGCTCAATCAGGAGGAGGAAATGGATTCAAGGGGTAAGTTGGGGAGTAGAGGAGGAGATCTTGTGATTAATAGGATGGTGAAAAATTTCTTGGAAGGGAGTAGAGAGTTGAAGAGAGAATGAAGAAGAGGGTAATATAGGGATATTGAGTTTTTAATATGTATATGATGTATACGTATACGTATTATGAAGACTTGGGTTTAAAAATAAGTTCTCTTTGTATGTTTAGGTTTAAGAGGCATTTTATAAGTACATGAGTTTAAAAATAAGCTAGAGTAAAACTTTGGGGTAAAAGACAAAAACCCTATTTTTTAAGGGCAGAGGGGTATTTTTCGTCTCTTTTGCTCACGTTAGATTTAATGGTGTTATCTTGGGGAGCTAAAAGTGAATAATTTTCAAGGAGTTTGGTCAAAATCTAGAGGAGTTGTAGAATTTTCTGAATACTTGTATCTATTGAACCATTAAAAATAAAAACATACAAATATAAATAAAATATACGTGTTCATATTTGAGAATTTGAATATATCAGATAGACAGACCATTGAAATTATTTTGATGTACCTAGATTAATGGTTTTGATATCAATATTTATATAAGGCATAGACATATTCTAGTCTTAAAAATTGTATCTAAATTTACCTTTATCCTATATACTTCTCAATTTATGTATTTTTCTTATATTTCTTTGTGTTGATATATAATTTTTCTTCTTGTTTCATTAGTATTCGGATTTGATTTTGAGATGGAGAATTTTTTAAAAAAAAGATAGTTTCTAAAAAAACAAAGCAAAATCGAACCTTTTGTGAATTAATTAGCAAAATTCATATTTATTTCATCATGTCATCATGGCTAACCATAAAAAAATCGATTTTACAAAATTTAATCTTTGAAACATAAGAGAGTAATAGTCCCGTGTAATTATAGGTTGTTAATTAAGAATTAATCTTATTCTTTTAATAATCACAGGACTATTAACATGTAATTAGTGACCGCTCAATACTAATCCCGTGTATTTTAAAGATTATATTTTGTAAAATTAATCTTTTTGTAGCCAGCTACGATAGTGTGACAAAAAAAAAAGATTTTGCTAATTAATTCAAAAAAGGTCATTTTGCTAATAAATTTTAAAACATGGTCTTTTTTAAAAATTTCTTATTTCGAGACACTATACTCACCGGTTGTGACATGAACGCTGCCTACCTTATCTAGGACTCGTCTCCTTCAAAATTTCTCCACCAAAACCCAAAACCCTGTTCCCAAAATGACCTCCTCGCCCTCATCTACAACTCACTCTCTCAGTCGAATCCCCTTGTACTCAATTTCTCATAGAGGCAATAGCTCAAACAGGTTGTCGTCAATTGGATTCGCTTCTCATTCTTTTTGTGAGACGAAGAGGAGCATAGTGATCGCAGGAGCGAAGAAGAAGAAGAAGGAGAAGAAAGATTCTCATAGCTTCTCTGTCAAGCCTGAGGAGGCTACTGGCCCTTTTCCAGAAGCTGTGCTTCTCAAAAAGGTGGGATTTTGGAGCTTACCCATGTCTTAATTTTTCATTATCTTGATGCCCTTTTAGGGATTTTGGAATTAACCCATGTTTTATTTTCTCATTTTATTCTCTAATTTTGGTTAAATATGGGTTTCAGAAAGTAGTGAAGGAGGATGGAAGAGTGGAACCTGAGTTTGCTGATGCTGAAGAAGGTAGCTTAGCATTTTCTTTTTTAATTTCAGTTACTTATTTCTTTATTTATATTCTTATTGACACCTTGGTTCTGTAATTTATTTGTGCAGAACAGCTGTATGATTTTCTCAATCTTCAGCTTGAGAGCAATCTGAATCTGGAAAGAAGTAAGATTATTAATATTTTGTGTTTAGTTTTGCACATTTTGTGTTGTTGATTAGTTCTTAAAGCTTGTGAAATTGTGTCTGACGGATTAAATTATGCTTGATCTTTAGTGATTCAAATTGTCTAATGCACAATATAAAAGTATTTCTAGGACTTGGCAAGGAAAGAATGTACCTGAAAATAATAGGATTAATTACTTAAAAATAAGTTCAGATACTGGCAGAAAGGACACAAAACAAATAATTAAAGTATCATTGTAGTATATCTCTTTCTGGACCGTTGTTTTCACTGTCAATCTACACACTTGCAAAACCTTAAAATGCCATGAACTATTAGCTGACTTTGTATAAAGCTGCATAAGAATGCTAGACATCTCAGTATGAAATCAATGAATTGTACCTGTTTGAAGTAAGTACTGTTTTAGTTTGAAGAAGGAAATTGCATGTCTAAGTGCTTCAAATGTTTAGATTTGGTTCGTCATTAGCCCAAGGGGTTTATGTTAAACTATTGTTTTCCATATCAATACATATGTTGTTAGCTCTTAAAGTTAGTCCCTCTAACCATTAGACCCAAACTCTGAAGATATGGTGAGGGTCGATGATTATATTCTAACATGGCCTCGCAGTTTGAGCTCCCTTTTAATGGGTTGAAACTTGGACTTACGTAGCGGTGTCAATTTTTAAAAAATCTGCTTTAAATTCGTGGCCTAAAACCTGGACTCAATCAACGGTGTTATTTTTTAGGAAATCCGCTTTAAATTCTTGGCCGGTGGGATTTGAACTTGGGTTGTTTTGATATCATCTTAAAGTTAGTCCCTCTAACCATTACAAGATAAATCTGAAGTTATGGTGAGGGTCATGGATCATATTTTTATATTCTAACGCGAAGGCTTCATTGATCAAGTGAAATTGCAGGTCTCATTATTTTGGACTAAAAACAACAAAATATGTTCAGCCTGCCAGTATTCTGTATATAACAGGAGTTGGAAATTTTTTTGATGAACTTATTAATGTTAGCATATCACTTGCTTTAGTATTTATGATATATTGACTGTTGAGGAACTTCATGCTACTTTTCACAACTTTCTGAGCATGATTATTCTATTGTTCATTCCTTTTCTGAAAATTTCATGCCATCATGACTATGATTTCAAGTTTTTCTCTCGTCCTTAGTGAATTAAAACCTGATAATGAGAATTCCATCTCTTTCATATATCTTTTTCTTTGTGTCCCTAACCTAGAATCTATAGTGAACAAGTTGCTGACAATCGATTGTGCTTTTTTCATTGTTTTTTTACTTCTCTTTCTTAACAGTGCGTCATTATGAAGTCGTCTATCTGATCCATGAAGATTGTGTTGATGAGGTCGACAGTGTTGTATCAAAAGTTCAAGGTATATATTAATAAAATATATCAATGTTTTAACTCAATGTTGGATATATGCTTGCTGCAATTTTATTATCACCAGTGATGATTTTTAATCCTTCCACTGTTTTGTAGTTGCAATCTATCCTTCTATAATCATTTGTGATGTTAATTTACTAAGGCGTAGCAACAAAGATAGTCTTTTGAGAATTAATGAGAGAATAAAGGAGTTGCTTCTTCATCACATTTAACTGGGGGGTTGATGTAACCAGCATCATACTGGAAGAGTAAAAGTCAATCCACCTTTGCTGAATATTTGCCTTGGTAAAAGGAAACATTAATCTTAACATAGTCTAATCTTTGAACTTCAAACTGCTTGTTCTTAATATAAAACAGTAAGCTGCTCAATTCTGTAATGATTAGGGCGAATGGCTATTATCATTTATCTTTGGGTTACTTGTGGATAGACGTCTTGTAGCATCACCATTTTTTTAAACTCACTACCTGTTTAGTTTTGTTTTTGCAGATAAGCCTTTTGACTGAAATTTTTTGATGCTTTACTTCAGAGAAAGATTTTGCATGCGCGTGTGCGTGTTGATAGACCCCCCCTTGAGTGTAAAAGAGTCAAAAGAAATTTCATAGTAGGAGACTCTACCTGTGAAAATAAAACTAAAGAGGTGGTAAGTTTAGAAAAGCAACAATATAGGGGTCTATATGCAACTAACCCTTTATCTTTTCTATACTACTTTGAGTAAAAGATTTTGCATGTGCGTGTGCATGCGCGTGTGCGTGTTGATAGAACCCCCCTTGAGTGTAAAAGAGTCAAAGAAATTTCATAGTAGGAGACTCTATCTGTGAAAATAAAAACTAAAGAGGTGGTAAGTTTAGAAAAGCAGCAGTATAGGGGTCTATATGCAACTAACCCTTTATCTTTTCTCTACTACTATGGGTTGATAATCATCTCCTCTTTTTTTTTTCCTTCCATTCTTCGCAGACTTCATCAGAGAGAAGAAAGGAAGGATCTACAGGCTGAACAACTGGGGCCTCCGAAGGCTAGCATACAAAATAAAGAAGGCAAAGAAGGCAAATTACATCCTCATGAACTTTGAGCTCGAGGCACAATGCATCAACGAATTCAAGACTTTGTTGGACAAAGACGAGCGAATAATACGTCATCTCGTTATCAAAAGAGACGAAGCCATCACAGAGGACTGCCCTCCACCTCCGGAGTTCCACACTTTGAAGGATGGAATGGATGATGATGATGATGAAGAGGAGGAAGAAGTAGATGTTGAGTTTGACGATTTAGAGTGGGAAGATGGAGATGATGAGGGGTTGGAGGTTAGCGGTGATGGAGAGAATATTATTCTTGTTGGAGATGATGAGGATGAAGATGTTGAGGATGATTTGAAAAGGTCGAGGAGTTCTAGGCTTGAGAAAGTAGCATAAATAGTTTGCGAGCAATAGATGTGAGTCATTATGGTCATGAGTTTTTTCATGGTCTTTGTTACACACATGAAGTTGTGATGTGAAAATGTTGTATACTTAATCAAGTACTGTACTGAAGTAAATGTTTTTGCCTAAAGTCAACTAGTTATTGATTCGGGTCCCGTAAGTTTTTCTTCAGGGTTAATTGGGAATAGAGAGGTCTCTCATAAGTTTTGTTCTTGGTAGATATAGACCCTCTGGTTTGATTCAATTTTACTGGGAGAGAGTTGTGGTAGTTGGATCTCTGAAGTAGTTGGGAAAAAAAAAAGAGTCCAATTCAAGACGTCATATATTCTGTGAGAATAGATCATGTAAATTTTGTTATTTGACATTGCTCATATAAAAGGCATGTCATATATTCTGTGAGCATAGATCATGCATAATTCAAGAGGCCTCAATATTGATCAATTCAGTAAAATTTTTAGGAAAAAGAAAAAGGAAAATAAATACTAAATATCAAATATGATCCATCCACATATAAAATGTCACGCAGTATTATACTAAAACATGAACAGATTCCATTATGTACACTTATGGTCATATTTGTTTTTCTTTAATTTCTTGTTGTGTTGTTCTGATCCTATCCTCTACCCCTGACGTTGATTATATCTACATTGTGTGCCATCTTAATATATGTATCAACAAATTCTTCTCCAAAATCATATTTTCCATTATTTTCTCTCTAATTTTATTAACAGGCACCCATGAAGGCAAGCTCTGCATCAGGTACAGGGGAGGTTGAGGGGGGAGAGAGTACAGGAGATGCTTCTCCCCGTCAATTTCTCCTCTAGGAACTGCAGGACCAAAAATTGAATTATGGTCACAAGTTCTTTAGTTGCCTTAACTATCAAACGGGTGCTAAGTGCAAGTATTTTGAATGCAAAGATAAAGCTTTCCCTCCCCAAGCTTAATATATGATTGGTAGGTTGCTAGGTGAGAAAGAGGATGCTAGGTAGGAGTTAAAAAGTGAAGATGGGCTGAGATTGAAGAATTTGGAGGAGAAATTTTGTGAGAAAAAGAAGAGTTCGAAGAGCAGGGGAACTGAAATTGGAAGAGTTTTGAGTCAAAATTTGAGGATAGAAAGAAAGAAAGAAACATTGTCACCATAGCTTAACGTTGTATACTACATTGACAGCCAAACTAAGATCAAATTAACAGTGATAGTTAACCAAAATTAGCACATTGTCGCCAAACATTGCCACCATAGCTTAACGTTGTATACTACATCAACATACATAATGCTTGATTATGCGTGCACGCACAAAACTAGCACATGCATAACCAAAAGTCATTGTTTGTTCACCCATCTTTGCAACTCTCATCCTTGCATGTTCCTCATCAGCTGCCTGTATCAAATAAAGAATGCAGAATCCTGTATGAAAATATTACTTGGCGATTGAATAGAACACTACCAATGCCTTGTTTGACTCTCTTGATTGTTATAGCATCCAATTGCCCTTCATTTCTCTATACATATCGTAGTTTGAGCGACTTCAATGGCTATATATTGTAGTTGTTATATTCATTGCACAACTCAATTAAATGAAGCGATATAAAAACTTACCTATGAACTTTGTAAGATGTCCCTATGCCTTGAGGGTATAAATCTACCTCTTTGCATACCTCCTTGCATCCTAACAACCCTCTTGAATCCACCTTCAGCAATTACGCTAGGGCCCTTGATCATCTTGGTGTTTAGATGCATGTGTTGTAGGGGTAGAATGATCACTTTCCTGATTACAAAAAAATGTAGTATGTAATATAAAATATAATTTTATAAAGGCAAAAAAATAAGGGAACCAATGAAAGTTTGATTTACCTGTTTTGATGGAGATTGCTATCTGTTAAATGGTTTCCTAGGCTTTGAGATTGCCTTCATTTCTACACGCACCTTCTCACATCGTGCCCTGCTTGCTTGCAATTTGTACAAAAATTTAATTGTCCAAATCTCCTAAGTTGTTCTAGATTCTTAAAATCATGAGTAGCTTTCCTTCTTGTCAACCTTGTTTATTCTTGTGTATATGGTAAATGCAACACTCTGTCAAATCCAGTTTCAGGCCAAAAAATCTACTATTAGATATGGGATTTATTGCATCTTCAAAAGCTTTCGAATACCCTTCCTTCTTAAAACATTCAGCAATAACATCCTCTTGCTTAACTCTTGCAGATTGCAAACATTAGATAGAATGGACACATGGGATACCTGAAACATCCCATACCCTACAGTCATAGTTCTTTTCTTCTATGCTCATGCAAGTATATATCCCATTCTACTAGCGATTTCATACTTATAGTCATATTTAAAAGACACAGAGTCCTGTTGATTTTTTCTCCATAATTCTCAATTTCTCAGCTATTTTAGAGCATACATTATCCTCCCCGTCGATGGTTTAAATCACACAGTTAAAAGAGAAGGTAGATGGGGATTGAGTTGATATTAGGGCCGCTTGCTTTTTCGAATATCCGATTTGGAGTTGGGTTGTTCGTCCCTGCATGCGTAACAACTCATAAGAAGATGGGGACTGCCTCCCCCGTTATTCCTCCGACGATCAAATCAGCTAGATGCTTAAGTGAGAATATGAGAAAAATGCATCAGAATGGAGAAAAATGCTGAGAAATTACTTACCCTTATATTTAGAATACTTTTCCTTTTTATAGTCAAACAAGAGGGGTATTCTAGTCTTTTTGGCCGAGCCTGAGCTGGCGGCTGAGTCAGCATCTACTTTACAGGTGTCGGTGTTCGCGGGGAAAGTTGGTGTTTTCTTCATTATCGATTCCATTGCACTCAGTTAACAACTTTAATTTTGATTTCATTGCGTAAGCCGGATCTTATAAAAAGTACCGATCTCTTTGTAACGCA